AAGCACAATAGTGTCTACGGCTTCATCACCAGTGTTAACAGAGACGGATGGCTCTCATTAACATGCTGCAATGGTGAAACGAGGAACTGGCTGACCACCTGTGTCCCAAAACTCAAACCATTCCCGGATGCTATTCTCAAAGTGTTTCAGGGCGAAGAGATGCCCAAAACCTATGTGTGCATCACATTTATTCCCCCCTCTGCTGTGCTACCACCAGAAATTCTGATGTCCCGATTGGAAAAACAATATGGTGGCATTTGCACATCATCGTGGAGAATTCTCAGGACTGAGAAAGATAAGAATGGTGGGGAAACCGTTACGATCTCAGTGGACGAAAAATCCAAAAATTGGATAGTCGGTCAGGCAGGGAAGCTGTATCTGAACTTCACACAAATTCACGTACGTGTGAAGGGAGAGCCAACTGGACCCAAGAAACTGACGACAAAAAGGCCATTTACGACAGAGAAACCCAGTGACGTCAAGCAACAGGTGCCTCCATCCAAAAGGCCGCTTTCAGGTGATAGACCCAGTACCTCAAAAGCACAGGCAGATAAGCCAGGTGAGACGGTTAAGGTCATACGGGACAGCACCCGAACTGAAGTCGGACCCAGCACCTCAAAACAGCAGGGTGGCACACCGGTATCTAGCATAAAGGACCAGAAGCAAGGGCCAAAGAAACCAGCTTCAAGATCCCCTCGACAGGAAGCACCCACTCATGGGACAAAATTGCCCAAGTGGATGCGGAACGGTAAAGGACGATACCAATAAAATGATGAGGTGCCTGCAGGTTAATCTTCAACACGCCAAAGTTGCTACGGCGGTGTTGACACAGCGACTTCTATCTGAAAAGATTGACCTAGCCTTTATCCAGGAGCCATATGTATATGAGAACCAGATAAAGGGAATAAAAGGTAAGCTACTGTACGATCATGCCAGCCATGGTCGACCTCGTGCTTGTATTGTGGTAAGAGATGACATTAATGCTTTCATTATTCCACAGCACACCAACAAGGACCAGGTAGCAGCTATAATTTCTGTGGACACCCCAGTAAGTAAGACAGAGCTCATTGTCTGCTCATCTTACCTACCTGGAGACTCCCAAAACCTGGACTTCCTATCACTGAAAGGACTAGTAGACTACAGTGTTAAAAGCAAGAGGCAACTCATCGTTGGAAGTGACGCTAATGCACACCACACGATCTGGGGCAGCACCGACATCAATAAAAGAGGTGAGTGTCTATTTGAATTTATAACTGGTAACAACCTATATATTTTGAATACGGGCAATAAGCCCACTTTTATAAACAGAATCAGGGAAGAGGTATTAGACATCACCCTAGCAACACAATTTATAAAACATTTTATCAAAAACTGGAATGTTTCAGCAGAAACATCCATGTCTGATCATCGTCAGATTAGATTTGATATTGAACTAAATATGAAGGTAAGGGAATCGTATAGGGTGCCTAGGGCCACAGAATGGGATCTTTATACTGACGAACTCAAGGCCAATCTAGGCAGTAATAAACATACGATAAAAAATATTCATGATTTAGAAATAGCTGATGCTGCCTTAAGCACAACTATTATAAATGCCTACCATGGGGCCTGTCCGGTGAAAAATAAGACCGGCAACAGAAGTGCACCATGGTGGAATAAAAAGTTAGCCAAGCTAAGAGTCGAATCCCGGAGACTCTTCAACAAGGCAAAAACCAACGGTGAATGGGACAATTATAAAAATGCCCTCACCGCCTACAATAAAGAAATTAGAAGGGCAAAAAGAGAATCATGGAGAGGCTTTTGCTCAGAGATTCAAAACTTAAGCAATAGCGCAAAAATCCACAGGGTTATCTCGAAAAGCCACACTAATCCCATTGGGCTTCTAAAACGACCTGATGGTATTTATACCAATGACTGCAAAGAGTCACTTATACTTCTAACAGAAGTACACTTTCCGGGATCTACAATTTACGACCAATCAATCTCCCAGCTTAGTTCCCTGGTGACCAAAAGGCCCAGAAACAATGACTGGAAGATTGCTCGTAAAATCTTCACTGAAGATAAAATTAAATGGGCGATCAACTCATTTTCTCCTTTCAAAGCACCTGGAGCAGACGGAATATTTCCAGCACTCCTACAAAAGGGACTAACTGACCTTATGCCCTACCTCATTAATATCTTTAGAGCTAGGCTGGCGATGGGAATCATTCCCACTAATTGGAAGGAAGCAATTGTCAAATACATACCTAAAGGAGGAGGTAAACCTAGCGAACTTCCTAAATCCCATAGGCCTATAAGTTTGACTACATTTCTTTTAAAAACTATGGAGAAGATAGTGGAAAGGCATATAAGGGAAGAGTATTTATCTATAAATCCACTCCACGCCAACCAATACGCCTACCAACAAAATAAATCCACCACACATGCATTACTCAGTCTTACTAATAAAATACAGGAGTCTGTAGATTGCAAAGAATATGCGGTGGGATGCTTTCTTGATATTGAGGGAGCGTTTGATAATACTGATCACTCACATATCGAAAGATGCCTCCATGACATAGGAGTAGATGATACGACACGCACATGGATAAGCAATGTACTAAGAAATAGAATGGTTAAATCCACTCTCGGCAATGCCGAAATAAAAGCACATACTGTAAAAGGATGCCCACAAGGGGGTGTATTATCCCCACTCCTGTGGTCAATTGCAGTAGACGAGCTCTTGCATCGACTCAGTGCCAAACATTTCGAGGCACAAGGCTATGCTGACGATATAGTCATACTTGTCAGGGGTAAATATGAAGACATGAT